AGTTTTTTTTTTTTTTTCCAAAAAATATATGCTGTGTTCCTTAGTTTTCTCTAAAGCTGACTCTGGTAGAAGAGAAAGGATTCTTCTATGTGCTTCTCAAATTTCCTTGGTTGAACAGTGGACATGGGGAACAGCAGGACAGTGCCAGTGTCTTACTCGGGTGCTTTGTACCGGACACCCCCAAAGCTATGTCGATCAGGGACCCCATCCCTCACACCCCAGGAAGGCTGTACCTCTGGACAGCAGCTCTGAGTTTAAGAAAAGTACATCCTTTTTTTGCCCAAAGATTTGTCTTTCCTCTCTCATCTTTTAGGAACCTGCAAAATCACAAAGGCTTTAAACTGCTAAATTGGTTCCCATTTTACTTATTTAATTATTTTAATGGTAAGTTACAAATTCTGGATTTTTCTTAGCCTCCTAATATTTCAATCCCACTTTGCATGTTAACGTTTCCCCCTACAAATAGTAGACACAAAGGCTGGGGATTTAGCTCAGTGGTTCTGCCACCTGCCTTGCTAGTGCAAGGACCCGAGTTCGATCCACGGTACCAAAAAAAAAAAATAGTAGATACCAAATTCCCCACGTATGTTAACCAATTAATATTTATACTTACCTCGCAGATATATGCTACATGTCTGGGACAAAATGCAAACTTTTAAAAGGCCTAAACTGTGTTCCATTTAAAGCTCCTCCTCAAGAATGGCTAGACCTTTGGCGCGCTGCAGAGGGGCCTGGGATTCTTGGTGTTTCAGAAGTGTTGGTCCAGCCAGAGTGACACAGCGAATGGCCCTGCTGTGGCTGTGACAGGGTGTACTAAAGTGGGGGACAGCGGTGCCCTGCTGCCTTCCTCCCGGGCCGGGGCTCCCTTCACTGAGCTGAATCCACAATTTGGTGTCCTCTGAAATGGCTCAGCCCAGCTTGTAGGGGAGAAGAGAAGGGAAGATGATAAAGCAAAATAACTGTCTCAGAAGAACGGGAAGCCCACAAGTGCATTCTGGCAGCTGTGTCCAGAGGACTTTCTGTTGGGAATCCTCTCCTTCGAATCTGCAGTTCATGTGCCTCACAAGAAAATCCCAGTTCCTCTTTCTCCCTCAAAGCCTCAATTACTTGCTTAGCATTGTAGTAAGAATGGAAGATGTGACTATTTGATCATAGTTTGTGATCACACACGTTTTATCAACTCTAACATGCTGTCAGCTATAAAGCTCACTTAAGATTTTACACACTGTGAAGAAAACTTTCCATTAAAAAAAAAATTTTCCATTCAATCAAGATTTCAGAGATTTTTAAGAATGTGAAAAAAGAGCCTTCAATTCATGAAATATATACACATCGTAGGTCGCTGCTTAACGACACCAGGTTATATGGGTCACGGTTTCCTCGTTTGTTACCTGAGCAGTTTGGGCCAGATGAGCTCTGTGAACCTCGGTCCTGACACCCTGGAGCTCTGTCATGCTGGGCAGTGCTGTTCCTGACTGGGTGGTAGCTGTGTGATCACCACAGCAACAGGAGTCCTGTTCAGCTCTCTCCCCTTTAAGAGTTGAGAGTCAGTGGGGCGTGGTGTCATGCACCCGTAATCCCAACACTGCAGGAGGCTGAGGCAGGAAGATTGCAAATTCAAGCCCAGCCTGGGCAATTTAGACAACTTAGTGAGAACTTGTTTCCAAAAAAAAAAAAAAAAAAAAAAAAGTGCTGGGGATGAAGCTCAGTGCAAAAGCTCAGGGTTCAATTCCTAATACAGAAAAGAAAACTAAAGAGAACTGAAGGTCCTCACATGGCAGTGTGGCTGCCACTGTCCCCTTGCCAAAGTGGCTTGGGAATCACGACTCCCAGGACTACTCGACAAGTCAGCCATGACAAATGCTAATGTTCTGTGCTGAGCCCTGGGATGTTTCATCAGGAAAGCTAGAATGTAAGCTGGATTGAAGCTCGGTGATAGCACACTGGCCTCACCCTAGGTTCAATCTCCAACACCACAAAAATAAAAGATGTCAACAAGGCAATTGAGTGAATGGTCAGGGCAGCTGTCCACTCTTTATCCAACTTGACTCTTCGATGGGAATTATGTTTTCTTGACTTTATTTTTCTTCTGTACATTTTCGCTCTTGAATGACTATAAATAGCACAGCTGCTACATTTTGCAATCAGTAACGTGTTCTAATGGGCTGGGCGTGGTGGCGCACACCTGTCATCCCAGCACTCAGGAGGCTGAGGCAGGAGGATCACAGAGGTTCAAGGACAGACAGCCTGGGCTATAATAAATAAGAGTTCAGGGCTAGCAAGACCCTGTGGTGACGCTGAGGCTGTTTTCCGCTCATTCCTACCCCAGGTGACATCGCCCCAGTGCAGGGCACTGCGTTTGACCTGAGAAAGCCGGTGCAGCTGGGCAGACACCTGCAGGAGTTTCACATGGATGGTTTTGACCACAACTTCTGCCTGAAGAGGTCTAAAGAAAAGCATTTTTGTGCAAGGTGGGGTACTTTTCACTTACGCCGCTGTGGCGGGAGGAACTCCTTGGATTTGAGACTTTTCTCCCGGCCCTATCAGTAGAGTAGCTCCCGGGAACCGTCCTTCCTGCCGCGCCTCCCAGCACCCGGCACCCAACCCCTCCCGTCGCCCAGCCCTGTCCCAGGAACCCTCGTTCCCCAGACTGAGGCCCCGCTGCCTTCCCAGTTCAAGCCTTTGGCCCTGCCCACCCCCAGGCTGAGCCGAGAACCCGTCACTCTCGCCACCCCACGTCGGGTTTGATCTCCGTCTCGCTGAAATCCCAGCTCCGTCCGTCCTCGGAGCTTCACCTTGGGGATCTCTTCCTCTGCTTCGTACTATGCTTGGATAGCAAGTAACCACCCGTGTTTATAGAATCCGGAGAGTTTAATGAAAGCAGAAAGGAGGATTCAAACTGTAGTAGAGCTGGAAAGGACTTCACAAGCGCTCCCCTCCTCAGAGTCCCCCCTGCTCAAGGCTCCTTCCTCCTGTGGTCCTCCTCCACTTTCTCAGCCGGGCATGGTAGGGCATGCCTGTAATCCCAGGAGGCTGAGGCAGGAGGATGGCCATGAGTTGAGGCCGGCCTGGGCTATATAGTGACTCAAAAAAAGGGGCAAATCCTCCTCTTTCTCCTTTCCTCTTGGCAGCCGGCAGAGAAGCCCCTCTTGCTTCACTGATTCAAAGCCTGGCCTTCCACTTGCTAAACATCTTTTGCAGAGCCTCTTTGCTGACAAACATTGTGAGGGATGTTTTAACTTTTACCCACTTTTTGTTTGTTTGTTTGGTTTTTTTGAGACAGGGTCTCACTATGCAGTTCAGGCTGGTGTTGCACTCACCATATAGCTAAGGCTTGCCTTGAATTTACAGTGAACCTCCTGCCTCAGCCTCCCAAGTACTAGGATTATAAGTGTGCACTACCCACACCCACCTTAACTTTTGCATCTGTGTTTTGCCTCTTGGTGAGAATGTAAGACCAGGCCCACTCCCCTCCCCTACTGTGTGTGTGTGTGTGTGTGTGTGTGTGTGTGTGTGTGTGTGTGTGTGTGTATGTTACTGAACATTGAATGAAGGGCCTTTCGCTGAGTTACCTCTCCAGCCCTTTTTAAGATTTGAGACAGGGTCTTGCTAAGTTTCCCAGGCTGGCCTTGCATTTACCATCCTCCTGCCTCAGCCTCTAGAGTAACTGGGATAACAGGCATGCACCCTCTCTGGCTAAATATCTATATCCCTTCCATAGCAAGTACAGATCCAAGTAGGAGCTCACCTCTGTAAAGGCCTACTTTATTAAAAAAAAGAAAAGGCCAGGCTTGGTGGCACAACCTGGAAGGCTGAGGCAGGAGGATTGCCAGGAGTTCAAGACCAACCCGAACTAAGTTTTGAGACCTTGTCTCAAAAAAGCTAAATAAATAAAGGAAGAAGAAAGAGAGAATAAAAGAAAAGAAAAAAGGGCACAGTGAATCATTGGAGACCCAACAGAACTGTTGGGAAGACTAAAATCAGCCTGCTCAAGCCCCTGAGAAGGGAACGGTTCAATTCAGAGAAACATCTCTTGTCTTTAATACAGTGTGAGTAGTTCTCTCTTACCAGGCCAAGCAGAGAACCCCAACTCTATGAAAAAGAATCTCAGGGGCTGGGGATTTAGCTCAGTGGCACCATGCCTGCCTGGCAAGCACAAGGTTGTGAATTCAATTCCTGGTAACCAAAATAAATAAATAATCTCAGCCCCATGGGCTGGTTGTGAGGCTCAGAGGTAGAACACTTGCCTCGCCCATGCAAGTCCTTAGGTTCAATCCCCAGCACTGCAAAAAATAAAAAAGGGTGTGGGCTGGGGGTTTGGCTCAGTGGTTCCACCGCCTGCTTTGCAAGCACAAGGAGTTCAATCCCGGCAGTGGTGGCGTGTGGCGCATGCCTATAATCCCAGCACTCGGGAGGCTGAGGTAGGAGGGTTGCTGTGAGTTCAAGACCAGCCTGGGCTACATAGTGAGTTCTAGGTCAATCTCGACTACATAGTGAGACCCTGTCTCAAAAAAACCAAACCAAACAATCCCTGGTACAAAAAAAAAAGGGAGGGGGGCATGGTAGCACACATCTCTAATCCCAGTACTATGAGAGGCGGAGCCAGGAGCATCACAAGTTTGAGTCCAGCCTGAGCAGCATAGCAATTCAGAGACCATCTCAAAAATGAGTTCTGGGGATGTAGCTCAGTGCAGAGGCCCTAGGTTCAGTCCTCAGCACCACAGTATAAATAGTGAACATACAATCTTAGCCTCTCCTGGACTCTGAAACTTCCCAGGCTGTGTGAGCCTGCCATTCCCAAAGAAGCCAGGATGGGAGAGACTGCTATGAGGGGTCCGTCCCACCCTCCCTCCACGCACCTTGTCCTTGCTCTGTGGCTAGGTCCGACTCCTGTCCCGACGCTGCTCCCCAGCTCCTACCCCTTGATGCCCCCTGTTCCGCCTAGACCCTCAGGTGGCCTGTCTTTGTCCTCAGGGTGCACCATGGTGGCAGCGGGCGGGTCCTGGAGGTGTACACCACCCAGCCCGGAGTCCAGTTTTACACGGGCAACTTCCTGGATGGCTCCCTGAAGGGCAAGAGTGGAGCGGTCTACCCTAAGCACTGCGGTTTCTGCCTGGAGACCCAGAACTGGCCCGACGCGGTCAATCAGGTAAGCTGCGCGCTGGCTGGTCCGGGTCCGAGGTGACAGGTGGCCACGACACTCCAGCGAGACGTCATGATTCCAAAGTCCGAGTTTGCTCTCTTCTCCAAGTCACACTAAACACACAAAACCCACCACGGAGAGGCTGATGTGGCATTTCCATGTCTTTAAAAAACTCACATTTTATATCTTTGCAACCCTTATTTGGTGTAATGTTTCTCCTTTTCAGTACCCATTTATTTTGTTCAACCACACTTTAAAGCAGCTTCTTCATGTCTTTTCTTCCTGTTTGCTCCCTCATAACTTTTTTTTTTGGTACTGGGGAATCGAACTCGGGACTTGAGCTTGCAAATCAGGCAGCGGCACCACTGAGCTAAACCCTGGCCCCTCTTTTAGATATCATTTACAGCAACGCTCCTCAAAATGCCAGCCCACAATGAGAAGCTTGCACGTTGCTCTAGAACGTAAACTCAACATACCGCTTCCTCCAGGGGAAGCTCTTGTTTTGACAGACTGCTTGGTGATAAAGATTTCCATTCCCGCTCAAGTTCGCCATCCCACTGAAGACCATAACGCAGTGTTCCCGTGCTGGCGCCGGTCCAGAGCCCTGGTCTAGAGACCAGTCCGGAAGCCCACCCGGAGCGGCCCGCGGTGGGACCCGGGCTGGCGGGTGTAACCATGTTGCTTTTCCCCCCGCAGCCCCACTTCCCTCCTGTGCTGCTGCGGCCTGGCGAGGAGTACGACCACACCACCTGGTTCAAGTTTTCTGTGGCTTAAGGAAATGTGAAGGTAACACCTGGTCCAGGGCCAGGCTGGGCCCCTTTGTCTCCTGTGCAGAGACGAGGTGAAGACTTAGAAGCTTGCCAAGTGATCCTGTGTGTTAAATTCTACAAATGGTAGCTGTCATGATAATAGTCTGCATACTGATTTCCTTTTCGAGACACTGGCTGTAGGCGATGTCCAATGACAAGCTGTGCTCGCCGGCGGTTCAGAGAGCGAGTGAACTCAGCCACTGGTGTCACCACCCAAGGCCAGACCCTAGCCCAGAAGTGGCTTCCTGGGACTCTTGTGTGCTGTTCAGGGGCCATCTCTCCACACGGCCTCATTTTTCTCTACTTTCCTCCCTCCTTTCCTCTCTTTGATACCACTTTCTCAAGGCTTTTAGTCTCCTCTCGCCCCAGTCTCTCAGGCAGCCTCTGAGGTCTCGGTGCCTTGCTCAGCGCATCCACAGGCGGAGCGCTCACTCTGACTGACTGGCCAAGACTCAGAGATTGAGTGACTCAACCACAAGCCAACCAGAGTCATAACTGAGACTTCAGTGTGGGTCATCCAAATTCCGTTCCTCCTCTTGGCCTCTACCCTAGACTGCTAAAGCCTCCCCTGGGTCACCGAAGAGCACAGAAGAATCCGGCCTGTGCGCCTGCTATTTAAGGCCGGCCAGTCTTACGTTCACTTCCACAGCACGCATTAGGATGAGGTGACTTAGCAATCTGTCTTTACAGCCCTTACCTGAAGCCCATTGAGAAAGCCCAGGCCAGCCAAGGCAGGAAAAGAGGGACTGGGGACAGGAGTCCAGTGTGAGCTGCGCAGAGGAGAGTGGAGGCTTCCCTTCTTCTAGGGTTTAGGCCAGGGATGTGTAAAGAAATGCTTTTTATACTGTTGTCTACTACAATCAGTTGAAATAAAACCACAATCTGCATCTTCAGAAGATTCCAGTCCCTTCTGTTATTAGTGTCGGTGTGGATTTTGGGAAGCAGACCAAGTGTGTGTTCTGGAATCTGTGTTCTCCAGTGGAAGCCCCAAGATCTTCCTAGGGGAAGGCCACTAACTGGCAACCTGTTGGGCTGTCCATACCTCCTCTCTCTTTGCAACCAACACTAGACCTTTTTTTTTTTGGTACTGGAGATTGAACTCGGGTCCTTGCGCTTGCAAGGCAGGCCACCAAACCGCTGAGCTAAATCCCCGGCCCTACTAAACCATTTTTAAAAATTCATTTCCTCATGCAGTTTCTGAGAAGCCTACGCTGTATATTAAGGGCCTCACAATGTAAAGTATTGAAAAGTATTGTGTTCTCTTGGGAATAACACTGGCTGTCTGAGACCAATAAATGTGAAACTGTCCGATATAGAACTGGCAGCCCTGAGCACTGACTTTGGTTCTGCCAGTTTTACTTGGCCTCAGTTTTCTCACTTGGGAGATGGAAGGAACTGCAGTTACCTAGAATATGAATGTACATTTGCAGGGCAGGACCCGAAGCTAGGCCATTATTCAAGTTCTTTTTCCTGGAGCCACACCCTCCCTATAGCTAGGATGAAGCATACGAAAGGATTTCAGCAAATGTTCAAGCTGGCCAGAGCATTCGGCCATGCATGCCGGGAGCCTGGCGCTGCAGTCCTGCTCCTCCTCCTCGCTGGCTTTCAGGAGACCTGGGGGCCTCACCAGCAGTTTCTGCTTCTGTCATACTTCCTCCTAGGAGCCTCTGGACAATTAAATTCTTACTGTTCCCCTCTCCTCCACTAGGACAATTGTCCACTCGCACATCACTGTAGTAACTGTGAGAGTCCGAATGGGTGGTTTCATCTGAGCCGTATGACAGGTGGTGAAATCCTTATGATAAGGTGGTCACAGGCTGGAGAAAGTCACACTGCTATAAAAGTGGAAGATGTACAGTGCATGACTGTACCCTTTGATGAGAAGCCTAGTAGTGTATGTTCTGTGGGCACCATACTACAGAATGTGAAGGTTCATAACACGGTGTTGATAAATGAAGTATTTCTACTACACCACTATTGGTAGAAACATAAATCGATGCTTTTCTGGAGGGAAATTAGGCATAATGTAAATATGGCAAACTTACAAAACTCCTGATCTAATGATTCCACGTCTAGATCATATAGAAATACTAGCAAAAATCTGTAAGGAGGGTCAGGGATTTAGCGCAGTGGTTCTGCCGCCTACAAGGTCCCGAGTTCAATCCCTGGAACCAAAACCAAAATTGTGTAAGGACAAACATTCAGACAAATGTATTCACTGAAACCTAATTGGTAATAATGAAAAATTTTTAAACTACCTAATGCCATCAGGACAGAAATGGATGAATGAGGTAACCCATAACGATGGGATCCTATGTGATCATGAAAAAGGATGAGATACAGTACGGTGTGGTGCCTTATGCCTGTAACCCCAGCATTGTAGGAGGCCGAGGCAGCAGGATCGAAAGTTCAAGCCAGGCCAGGGCAACTTGGTAAGACCTCAGCTCAAAACAGACAGGGCTGGAGATGTAGCTCAGCACTAAGGCCCGGGTTTCAACACCTTGTACTGGGAGGTGGGCCAGGGGGACTTGCTATGTAGAGAGAGTTCAGGCTGGCCTTGATCTTACTATGTAGCCCAGGTTGGCCTCTAACTCATGATGATCCTGCCTCAGCCTCCCAAGTGCTGGGATTACAGGTGTGCACCACCACGCCAGGCCTGTCCTGCTTTTGTAAAACAAAACAAAACCTTACGCTTATCTTTAAAGCCTGGAGGAACATACCAAATTGTTAATGAGACCTCTGGAATGTAGAAGTTGAGAGGGGGAGGAAGAACTTTCACTTTTTACTGTATCGGTGCAGTGTGAATTGTCAAAGACAAACATCTTCCTTTCGCAATTTGAAAAAAATTGCAGTCACTAAAATGAGGATGCGAGGAGTCACTGTCGTGATTTCTGTCATGACACTGCACACCGCAGCGGTCGGGAGTGCGCATGCCTGGATGTCTTCTCAGTGTGGTTAGCTCCTTTCTCGGTGAGGCGCTGTCCGCGACTCTCTCGGCTCTACAATTACCTCAGTGTGCGTTAGCCAACAGGTCTCAGGGGTAGACTATTAAGCTGTGTGATTCATGTACCAGTTTCATTAAATTAATTTTTCAATGCAGGGTTATAATATTTTAGGAACCATACTCATTTTATGAAATAGCAAAGGAGAAAGAATATTTTCTTATTTACAAGAAAACCTAACAACTATAAATTAGTTGTTCACTTAACGGCCTCTGGCATTGAGAATACATTTATCACCCAAAATGTTTTTCCCCGTCTCTCCTCAAAAGGAATTGTTTTTATACTAGGCCAGACCTCAGTAGTCCAAAGGAAGGATATTCACCTGCAGGGCACTGAAAGTAGGTACTAGTATTTCAATTAACTGTGTATGAAAGAAAGTAAAAAGGCTAAGTTATTAAGCGATAAATATGAAAGCAAAACTGTGGAAACTGTGCGTGTAAGCAGGCGGTCTATCCTTGTTTGTGAAACAACTGGAAACTTAAGATCTTCTACATGGTTGAGATGCAGAATATCACTATGTTGAGTGTGATCATAATATTTTTTCTGATTTTTATAATGAACTCACTGAAGCCTTGAGCAAGTACAGCATTACAAGATATAATAGTCTAATAATGCCACAAACATTCCTGTCGAGTCTCAGATGCCACACCATGCAGGCTGAACTCCTACAGCCACTAGGTGACCAAGGACAGTCAGTCCTCAAAGACTAACTGAAGTTCAGTGTCAGTAAATACTGGTAATGAGGCAAAGGCCAACTCACTGAGTTCAATCCCCTGTACTGTAAAAAAGTAATAATAAATAAAGTGATGTGCTTATGTTTGAAAAACTCTTGAACTTCAGTAGGGACAGTGGGAGTCCATAGTGCTCCTGCCTGGAGCTGTCTCCCTTCTCACTCCTCCTGCCTAACACTGCCGTGGTCCTGCTGGGAAAAAACAAGATTAAGCTGCCGTGGTTGGAGGGAGGCTCACTCCATCCGGAGTGGTGGGCGACGGCCACGCCCAGAAGCGTGCTGAACTCGAGCAGCCATCTTGGTGCTATGTGAGCAGCAAGGGCCCGGGCAAGCTGTGCAGAGGCTGCACATGTGTGAACCAGCATCAGAAAGGGTCCAAGCTCTTGGCCACGCGTATGCAGAAGTGATGCAGTCAGGCTCAGTGAGCCGGGGTTGAGTGGCACAGTGGCGGAGCGCTTGCCTATGTAAGTGCAAGTACCTGGGTTCAAAGCCAGCACCAACAAAAAAACAAGGCGTGGGTGGAGGATGCTCAGCAAAAGTAGAAGTCGGGACAGACCTGAGACAGGCCTAGAGCACTGACATCACGCACCTGGACGCAGATCCATCAACAGGGCAGAAATCGGACTGGTTCAGGTATCTGAGCACAACCTCTGTTACTGGTGGATCCCACTCTCCACAGACAGGGCAGCCCCCTAAAAGCAGACTAAAGAGAAACACAAGATGAGCTGGGTGTGCTGGCACATTCCTGTAATCCCAGCATGTAGGAGGCCGACGTAGGAGAATCACAAGTTCCAGTCCCACCTGGGCAACTTGGCGAGGCCCTGTTTCAAAAATTTTTTAAAAAAGACTGGGGACATAGCTCGGTGTGAAGGCCCTGGGGTTCAATCCCCAGTACTGAAAAACAAAACTTTAAAACTATATGGATTATAAAAAAGAACCAAGCAAAAACTGATGTTGAGAAAAGCACAGTCATACATGAAAAGTGATCTAGAGAGGCTCGGATGTAGATCTGAGACGGCAGAAGAAAATAAGTAAACTTGAAGATAAGACTAGTAGGAACTATTCAGTCAGGGAAACAAACGAAGAGACTGAACAGAAGAGAATCACAGAGACCGGTGGGACATCAAGCATATGTGCAAGAAAGAAAAAACATTTGAGAAAAGAACGGCAGAAAACTTCTCAAATTTGATTAAAAAGGGCCATTTAGCTCAGTGGTGCCACCACTAGCCTGGCAAGCACAAGGTCCGGAGTTCAATCCCAGGTACCAAAAAAAGTTTTTATTTAAAAAAAAAAAAACCTAAACAACCAAGAAACTCGACAAAATTCAAGAAAGATGAATATAAAGAGATTCCCCACCTAAATACAACATATTTAAACTGCTGGATGCCAAAAGCAAAGAGAAAAATTGAAAGCGGTGAGAGAAACAAGACTTGTCACCAGAGGAGACCATCAGTGTGACAGCAGCCTGCTCACCTGGGACAAGAGTCCAGACAGACCACGGATTCCAAGGCAGGAAGAAACTGACAGCAAATGGCTGCAGAAGACAACCACACCAACATCAGGAGAGAGCTGGAGTAGCTATCCAGCCAATAAAACAGAGTTTAGGATAAATATTACTAGAGACAGAGCTGCTTCGTGATAAAAGGACCAAGACATCAGCAAAATGTAACAACTGCAAACTTCCCCATGCACCCAGTAAGAGCCTCAGATGCTCTGAAGCACTCGTGATGGCCAGAGGCTGTGCCTAGAGTTTCTTCTTTAGTGCTGGGCCTATTAATCTGTTAAATACCCGTTCAAATTTCTTGAATACCAGAATTTAATTTTTAGGTTAGTATTTCTTTGAGCACAGTGCCCTCTACTGGTACTAATATAAAATGCAGTTTCTGCCTGTTGAAAGGTTCACTCAGCACAGGGTTGCTTGGTTAGGTAAGGAAGGATACAGAGAACTCGCTCTCCCTTGTGTCCTAGGTGTCTCGCTGACTTCCTTATTACAACAGCAGTAAACCAGGGTAATCTACACTGAGGCACACGGTTCCTAATAGGGAACCATGAGCCTATAGTGGTGATCTGCAATCCTGGTTGCATAACACTGGGGAGGTCATTATCATTATTATTATTTTTTTTTTTTGGTACCAGGGATCAAACTCAGGACCTTGTGCTTGCAAGGCAGGCGCAATGCCACTGAGCTAAATCCCTGGCCCTAATTAGAATCTTTTTAAGGTCCTTGGATGATCCTAGTACAAAAAAAAAGTAGGGATGAGACCCACTGCCATACAGTAAAGCTTTTCCTGCCTCATTTGCACTCACCAATATTGGTAAGAAATCAGTGAGTTTGGCCAGAATTTTATCCCTAATTCACAAAGCACTCTTATCAAGGAATGAGTCAGAGAGAAAAGCACTACCAATAATCTTAGCATACAAGATCAGAGATAATCACTATTCTGAACTTTTTTGCTGTTGTTTTTGAGACAGGATCTCCCTATGTAGTCCAGGCTGGCCTCAAACTCATGGTGATCCTCCTGCCTCAGCCTTATTCTGAAGATTTTCAAGTTGAAGACGGCTGGAAGTATACATGTATGTAATTCTAGTACTCTGGGAGGCTGACGCAGAATAATACCAAATTTGAGCCCAGCCTGAGCAATTTAGGATTAAGCAAGACACTGTCTCAAAATAAAGAAATTTTAGGGGCTGGGAATTTAGCTCAGTGGTTTCACTGCCTGCCTCGCAAGTGCAAGGACCTGAGTTCGAAACCTGATACCTCAAAATAAATAAAGAAAATTAAAATAAAGAAAATTTTAAAAGGGCCAAGATATGTGTGATTTAGTATGAAGGACCTGAGTTAAATTCTCCAGTACTGCAAAGGGGGAGGAGAGAGAGGGGAGGGGAGGGGAGGAGAGGAGGAGGAAGAACAGCTAGCAGCATTGCACAAGACACGGGGAAGGCACAGAGCTTCCACAGTGCCTAGGTCACCACTCTCCAGCTATCAGCTCGCCACCAGCTCCCTGACCCCCTGGGGTTGAAAGTCCCCTAATAGCGCCTTGGCCTTTCCAGCTCCTAGGGGTTCCTAGGGGAGCCACCCTCCATCTCACTAAGTTGTTGAGGGTGGGCTTGAGCTTTTGAGCCTCCTGGCTCGGCCTCCCAGAGGGCTGGGATTACAGGTACGCTGAGTCCAGGTCGAGTAGCTCACTGGGATCCAAAACTCAGTGCCAATAATGAATTAAAAGGGATGGAGTTCAGAAAAGGAAAGTGGTTTATTTGTAAGAAGGAAAAAGCAGCGGACAGTAAGCTGTCCCGAAGCTGGGGCGGGGCTATGGAAAGGTGCATACCTGAGCTCTTACCCCTGGCGTCTTGTATTAGGACTAGTGACCCTTTCCTCCATGTGGGCACCTGGAGCTTGTCGCAGCCTCACCGGCTCTCTGGCTGTCTTTGGCCCTAACCGTGGCACATTCCTTCTGGTGGGCTTCGTTTGATTCCTTCCTGCCCTTTTGCGATGCATGACTGGGGGAGGGTAGAGAAAAGAAGTTTAGTTAGGAACCAGGGGGTGCGTATACCTAGCGCAGTAATATGGTGACCCTACAGGGAGATACGTATGTGCACATAAATGCACGTGTACTTCATATACTAAGTAACAGGTGCCGCCCTTGTCTCCCGTGCACTTTATTGGAGCGGGGGAAGGGGGCAGTTATGCTTCTGGTTTCTGGGTTTTCATGCCTAAGGCTCCCTCTGAGCTTTGTCTACCAGCTTTCTGTGGTAAATTCTTTTTTTTTTGGTACCAGGGATTGAACTCAGGACTTGGTGCTTGCGAGGCAGGCAGCAGGCGCAGTGCCACTGAGCTATATCCCCCATTGGTAAATTCTTATGTGGATTGCACTACCTGGTACCTTTCTAGGTCTGGTTTCTTTCTTTCCTTTTAATCAGCTCAAATCTAACTACAGAGGTAAAAGTCACTCTGAGTAAGATTTTCTACCCATTTCTTTAATAACACCTAATGGGCCCTTATTCTATTCGTTCCCTGCCTACAGACCCCTATCCGTGCCCAACTATGTCTACTACATATTTTCTTTCTGGACAGATTTTTACTATTCATCATTTCTACAATTTAGATTTCTTAAAGTTATGTTACAACTCACAATAAAAATTAACAGATTAGAGTCTGCGTTAAGTCTGTCCAGCCACCTCCTCCGTCAGTAAGAAGCACAACCCAGCTGTGTGTGGTGGCACACACCTGTAATCCTAGCACTCGGGAGGCTGAGAGAGGAGGAATGCCAAGAGTTTGAGGCCAGCCTGGGTTCCATAGTGAGACTCTGTCTCAAAAAAAAAAGGTACAACACAGAAGCTGGGCATGATGGCCCACATGTATAATTCCAACACTTGGAGGATGAGGTAGGAGGATCCCAAGTGAGGCCAGCATGAGGTACATAGCAATCCCAGGCCAGCCTGTTACAAAGCTAGACCTCATCTTCTGTCTCTGTCTCTTGCACATGCACGCACGCACACACACACACACACACACACACACGCACGCACGCGCGTGCATGGAAGCAGCATACCTGAGAAAACCTACAGATGGGTAGGACAGCCTAGGCATCTGAGTCGTGCAACGGAAGCTGGTGATCCTCCAACCTGACCCAGGCCAGGGTGACTCACCGGGCTCGCTCGCCAGTCTTGGTGACAGGTGAGCCTGTGGCCCTCCTGCAGAGAATGCCCTCTGCCCCGGAAATGGCCACACCTTCTCCCAGCAGAACCCTGGAGAAGAGCAGAACTCCAGAGTTAACCCAGGTAAGGAGAGAGAACCTGGCGAGAGTCATAAGGTGGAGCTGGACAATCAACACAGCCTGCAGGGTCTACAACCTCTGTAGGCAGATGCTGACAACAGTCAGTCAGGCTTACAGGCCCCTCCAAAGAAAACGGGGGCTTTCTCTTGGAATGGTGGTCACACAGGTCTCAGAAGAAGTTCCAGTTTCCTATGCTCGGTTTAGGAGGGGTTCTCAAGAAGGGTGGTGATGTGCATCTGTTATCTCAGCTGTTTGGAGGCTGTAAGTCTGAGGCCAGCCTGGACAGTGTCTCAGAATAAAACTAAATAAAAAGGCCTGGGGGTGGAGCTCAGTGATAAGAGTGCCCCTGTATTCAATCCCCAGTATAACAAAAAATAAAAAAATGCATTAATTAATTCATCTGTTAATATTTTACACGGGCCAGGGATGTAGCTCAGCGATACTGCACCTGCCTGACAATGCAAGGTCCTGAATTCGATCCCTGGTACTGGGGAAAAAAGAAAAAAAAAAAATGACATTTTTAACTTGCCAAATATTTCAGTGCTAAATTCTAGGTAATTGAGGAAAAAGAATACAGTATACATGAAACAAGTACACAAGCAATTAAGTTATAAAGTCCCACTGTAAAACTTGAAGCATGCTGAAAGTAAGCAAAACCAAACCAGACTTGAACACATGAAACTTTTCTAGAAGGGGAAAGCATGTATTTTACAACTAAGAACAAAAATACATACACACACACACAAACTATGCTGAGGCACTTTTTTTGGTACCAGGCACTGTTTTTGGTCCTTGCACTTGCGAGGAAGGCGGCGGAACCACTGAGCTAATCCCCAACTGCCTCAAGCAGGCTTCTGACAGGACGGCCTAGCCATGACAGCCTGGAATGGTAGATGGCCAAGATGAGGCCAGGCACCACTGCTAACTCTTTCAGCAGCCCACCCCAGTTTGTAGGATACACTTTTTTATTTTATGTTTTTGGAGACAGGGTCTTGCTACGTAGTTCAAGCTGGCCTCAAACTCACAGGGATCCTCCTGCCTGCCTCAGCCTCCCATGTACTGGGATTACAGGCGCTGGCTTGTAGGATGTATTTCTTACCGTTAGCTGGCCCGCACTTGCTGTGCAAAGCCTATTTTCTTTCTATACCTTTAGAGATTACCCCAGGTACATGTGTTCACCTGTGCAGTGAGGTAGTACAGTGCTCCTGTGAAACCCCTGCAGCCACAACACAGACATGTTATATTCTTATTACTCTTCCCAGAAACCCTAGGAGAAAAGACCAAAGATGGGCCAATGACCTTTAACAGATCCTTTGCCAAGGATAGCAAATAAAGACAGGAAGAGATGTGCTACATGACATGCTGGTCAGGAAAATGCAGGAAGATAAGACGCAACTAAGCAACTATCAGAACAGCCCAAATCCTGAACACCGCAAGCACCAAGAGCCTATGAGGATGCAGGTAATGGGAACCCTCATCCGCTGCTGGTGGAAACGCAAAGCCATGCAGCCTACATCGAAGACAATTTAACTGTTCCTTGTGAAACTAAACCTATTCTTAGCACATAACCCAGCAATTGTACTCCTTGGCACTTAGCCATAGGAGTTAAATTTATGTTCACACAGAACCCTCACATGGAAGTTTTATTGATAATTACCTAAATTTGGAAGCAGCCAAGATTCCTTCAATAGGCAAAGTAACTGTGGAACATCCAGACACTGACTGTTCAGCACCACAGGGGTATTAAGAAGTCACTAAAAGGTGGAAACTTAGCTAGGCACGGTGGCACACACCTGTGATGGCACCACTTGGAAGGCACGAGGATTGCTGTAAATTTGAGCCCAGCCTGAACTATATAGCAAAACCATGTCTCAAAAAAACAAACAAGCCAAGCATGGTGGCACACACCTGTAATCCCTGTGCTCAGGAGGCTGAGGCAGGAGGACTGCCACAAGTTTAAGGCCAGCCTGAACTACATAGCAAGACCCTGTCTAAAAAAACAAAAACAGCCAGGTGTGGTGGCGCGCGTCTATAATCCCAGCACTCGGGAGGCTGAGGCAGGAGGATCGCTTCAAGTTTGAGGCTAGCCTCGGCTACATAGTTCCAGGTCAGTCTTAGTGAGATCCTGCCTCAAAAACCCAAAAAGAAAAAAACAGAACCTTAAGAATGTTTACATAGTGAAACTGGCCAACCTAAAATTACATAGTATATGATTTTGACTACTGTAGGACACTGGAAAATGCAAGGCAATGGAGACAGTGAAAAAACAAAATGGTTTCCTGGGATTCGTGGAAGATTACTGTGCGGTAACGTAAGAGTAGATACATCTCATTAATACTTCTGTCCAATCCCATAAAAGGTACAGCTCCAACAATAAGCCCTACCATAATCTATGGACAGTAGCTGTCAGTGTCAACGTAGGTCTATTAATTATTAACAAATGTACCATTCTGATGATGGACGCTGATACTGGAGTTCTATGCGTGTGTTGACGGAATATAGGAAATACATGTACAATCCTTGTTCTTTTGCTATCAATCTAAAATTGCTATTCAAAAAATGTCTTTAATAGTGGGGTTTTTTTTTTTTGGTATCGGGGATTGAACTCAGGACCTTGTGCTTGTGAGGCAGGTGGAAAAACCACTGAGCTAAATCCCTGGCCCAGCAGTTTTTTTTAACCCCCAGTGAACTTGCTCGCTTCATGTTGGCACCCTTATTTTCCAACCACCCAGACTACTTCAAGGGCCTTTGCACTTATTATGCCTCTAAACAGAACATTTTCTTCATTAGTCACTGATGCTCAAATGCCACCATCCAGGCCTAGGACCAATCCTACCCCTCACAGCAATCATCTTGCATCCCTCGTACTCCGCTTTGTTCTCCTTGTCACTTACTACCCAGCTGGTATTTACTCATCTCTCCAGAATTTAAGCTCTGCAAGACTAGGTAATTTTTGCTTTTGTATTCCAAGGCACTACAGTACCTGACACACTGAAGGGCACCAAGTTTACTGTATATATCATACAATAACCAGCCAACTAAATAGTATACAACATAAAAGATAAGCAAGTGCAAACTTTTACTTTCCTAAAAAGCTCTCCAAGATATTAAATGAGAAAAGCAAGTATGTGTGCTGTGCTGTGCAAGGTTTTGTATTAAATGGGGGGAGCCGGATGTGGTGGTGCACACCTGTAATCCCAGCACTTGGGAGGCTGAGGCAGGAGGATCACTGAGTTCAAGATCAGCCTGGGCTACATAGTGAGTTCCAGGTCAGTCTCAACTATATAGTGAGACCCTGTCTCAAAAAAAAAAAAAAGGGGGGGGGGAAATTACCTACATATATTTGGTTACACAGGGACTTGGCTGTCCACAGGCTACATAACTGCTCACAGTGGTTGCCTCAATGGAGAGAAGGTGACAGCTGAGTCAGGAATAGAGCTTCCTATAAATCCTAAATCACAAAGAAAGCAGGGTGAGTAACAGGCTGGGCCATTAGCATGTGGAAAAGTAAGTAGTTTGAGAAGTGGTCCCATGAGCTTGACATTTACTAAGTTATTGTATTACACGTGCTCCAAATCATTTCTTTTGCTTGTGACAGGGTCTCACTACGTGCTCAGGCTGGTCACCAACTTGTGGCAGTCCTTTGGTCTCATCCTGAGCTCTGGGATTGCAGGTCTGCACCACCACGCCCAGTTCTACCTTTTCCTCATTAAATGTGGCAAGAAAGGAGCTGTTATTAGCAGTGGAATCAAATGGGTAGGACTAGGGCCAGGGATTTAGCTCAGTTGTTTGGTGGCCTGCCTTGCAAGCGCAATAGACCAGAGTTCAATCCCCGGTACCAAAAAAAAAAAAAAAAAAAAAAAGGGTAGGACTATAGAAGTGTTATTTTTTCTTGTATTTTCTCATTTGGGGGGCTTCACACAGTACTGGGAAATGAACCAAGGTCTTTACATATTCCCCCACACCCCTTGTTTTTGAGGGAAGATCTCACTAGAACTTTTTTTGGTACCAGGGATTGAACTCAGGTCCTTGTGCTTGCAAAGCAGGCAGCACAACCACTAAGCTAATTCCCCGGCCCTCACTAGATCATTTAAATTGCCCAGGTCGGACTAGAACGTATGATCCTGCTTCAGCTTCCCAGAATGATGGGAATACAGATGTGCCACACTGCTTTAGAGTCCCTTTTAAAAAGGAAAGTGTAAACCCAGGCAGGAGGATTGGGGTGAGTTTGAGACCATCCTGAGCTATGTAGTGAGTTCCAGCAGGTCAGCATCAACAATGAGACTGTAACCAAAAAAAAACAAAAAACAAAAAACAAAAAAACCCAAAAGGTGAAGGGTCAGGGACTTAGTGCCAAGTATATACCTGACTAAATGTCCCTGAAGACAAGGTCATTAAGATCACTTTCCTGTTAAAAAAAAAAACTTTCCCGTGCTTTCAAACTGCCTATTTTTAAATTCTTGACATAACAGCTTTTATACTAAAATACCATAAACCTAGTTTCTTTTTGGCTTCTCCCTAATTTTAACCACCCTCGGAGTATTCCAGAATCAGCCAAGGCTAGCATCTCACTGCGCAGTTCAGGTTGGTCTCAGACTTTCAGCAATCCTCCTGCCTCAGCTTCCCTTAGCACTGGGAATGTAGGCCTGCCTGCCTGCCCACACCACCTCACCTGGCTCAGGTGTTTCCTACTTTGCCACTTTCACTTTGATAGCTTTCTAATTCACCATACCTTTCAATTCTTGCTTCCATCTTGGAAAATCTAACAGTTTTGCACTGTAAGATAGGCTACATAAACTTGGGAGAACCAGGGCTGGGGATTTAGCTCAGCGGTTCTGTGGCCTGCCCTGCAAGCTCAAGGACCCGAGTTCAATCCCTGGTACAAAAAAAAAAAAAAACCAAAAACTTGGAGAACCAAAATCCTACCCCAAACCTCAAATTTCAAGACTTCTATACTGTTCTCAGGAAAGATTAAGCCACTATCTCTTGATACAGTAGGTCAAAAACCCAAGAGAGTTACCACTGTGAAGTCAAGGATGTATGTATACCTACTACCCTATACCAAGTAAAAAACGATTCCTAGGTCTAACATTTGTGAGTATGGACTGGAATTCAGTCTTGTTAAAAAAAAGCTAGAAAATGGTGTACACCATGAAACTGCATAACTGACATTTTCACTACTGAACAGAACGGTGCCCATGCTAAAGCTGTCCACCAAGACTGCACTACTGCCTCTCCCCACTAAGAGAACTGTTTTCACCTGTGACCCTACCAGCCCCTTCATACCCACTCCCTTTTATACTAATTCCTAGTTCATCACTAGTTACCCATTCTAGAAAGCTATAGGATGAATGATTCCTGTTTTTGGCTTAGAGCTCACACTTCCAAAAATTGAGTATCAGGATTATTTGTTCAATCTCTGCAGATTTATTGTTGAGTAAACTTAAATTTATAGAATACATAACAAAGCTAACCAAGTGCAACAGATAAGCCTGCCAATTACACATATAGCTTTATACCAACCATGTTAATTTAGCCAGTTGTCAAAATTCCAATCAAAGAATCCAAATAATTTCCAATACACTAGTGGTCACTTAGACCACCAAATGAATCTGAGGCAGACCAGTATTATTCCCAAATTCCAAAACTATCCAGTGACTGTCGAAAAGCCTACAAAATAGACGGGCAGATTCCTGTGCCACTAGCATTTTTTTTTTTTTTTTTTTTGCACCAAGCCGAGAAATACTGGTAAAAGCATATCCAGAAACCCTCAAAAGTAACTGTTTTTTACCTATTATACTTAATATTTAAATTCCAAGTAAGAACCTACTGGCTATAACATTCTAAGGTCTAAGAGTCACTACCAAAAAAAAAACTTGGCTACATAAAGTATTGCTAAGTATGTGAGATTTACAAAACTTTTAGTCTCATTAACATTTCTGATTAACATTCTTTACTTTACTTTGTACCAGCTTGGCAAAACTGGAGAACTATAGTTGTTGGGAACTGAAACTTAGTTTGTGGCTAGGAGTGGTAACACCCAGAATCCCACTCAGGAGACTGAGGCAAGACTGCCTGAGTTCAAGGTGAGCCTGGGCTAGTGAGCTGAAGACCAGACTGCACCACAGACAGTGTCTGTCTCAAAAACAAACAAAACTTAGCTTGGGTACAACAGGTCTTCAGAGTAAGGCAATACACTTTTAAGGAATTTTAAGGAATATCTGGGTTAGAAAATTTTGCAAAGCTGGTTTACAATATCGTTCGAAATTCAGACAATGCCTCACATATGCATTTTGTTTTGGTATAAAAGACTGTTTGAAAACAAAGAAAAGAACACCAGGTAGAAACCATCCCACCCAAAAGCCTGAAATTGTCCATCAGATGCTAAACTTAGCCTTCAGAAATCAGTTTCTCACTTCATTTATATATTATTTTAATAAGCTTTGTTTTGTTCCTGTCATGCTTACTTATAGGCAAATCAGTGGTCCCTTTAGATCAACAGATTGAGTTCATTAATTTGACAGTATCCAAAAACACCAAATTCAAATAGATTTAGGGGTTTGTCATAACCATGCTATTGTAGAGGACTCAAAATCATCTTAACCAATGCTACAAGGGTAAAGCAGAATTTTCAAAGCCCCCTAAGATCCAGCCAGGCTGACAATGTCCAAGATTTAACCAACACCATTAAACACAGAATTAAAGTCTGTATGAATGTGGCTAGTAACAAGTCTGACTCCTGATGTTTACCAGTTGAAGAAGTGTTACTACTGAACACAAATCAAAAGTCTATTAGAAACACTTTATTTAAATGTGCCAAATAAAACCCATTTTCAGACCGTAAGATGTTAATACATTCAACAAAAATTTGTATTATTTTACTGCCATAAATTTACAGAGTAATAATCCACATCCATTTTGATTAGATGGTTGAAATATCCTTTCTGGGTTACACTTTACAGACGTTGCAAATCCCTTATAATAATGTAAACAAAATAACTTTTCCCTAAAGGGTGAACTGGAGGACTTCAGTCCATTCTTTCAGGACTTGCACTTCTGCGTGGACTTCCTGATGGGGAACGACTAAAAAGAAAAACATTAGGTTTGGAATCAATTAGTGTCTACTGAAACTTAACTCTTCTCATGTGCATGTCAGGGAAACGAAGCTACCGAGTTCCTACAGCAAAAGATCTAAAAATTACATGAGATTTATATATTCTTCATTCCTCAATGTTACACTTAATACTGACAAAATTTCAAAAAAATTTAAATAGGACAATATAAAGTGAATAGGGAGAAAATAATTTGGGTACAAAATTACAACTATTTGCAAGATTTGTTTTTTTCATGTGGACACGTGACACATCCTAACAATCAATCCTCTAACACTTTTATCAAATTATTTCCAACAAAAGCATAATCTGGTGTTTAAGAAAAGCAACCACTTCAGAAACTTAATATTTAGATCTATACAGCACCAATTCTCCAAAGAGCTCAAAGACAGCAAAGTAGCAAGCAAAACTTTCAGTACAGGCCACACTTTGCAGATTAAAATTTGGCAAGAAAATATTTAGCTTACCTTCTTTTTGGAGATGGAGATCTGGACTTTGACCGGCTGTCAAAACATGAAAAATTCTAGTAAGAAAGAGTACTTACTGTCCAATACCTTCCTAAGTAATAACACCCTTGAAACAAACTAATTGTTCTAAACTTACAATGTCAGACTTGTGTGTGTATAGAGCCTTACATACTTATTATTTTTATACTTATTTTAAAAGTCACTCTTCTGAAAACTTTCCCGTAAGTGACCTGCTGTACTGTCACAATTCATTTTTTCCTTAAGCACATCTACCTCAGGATGCTTCTTGTCCATGACCCGAAAAACATTTAACAAAGGCCTCTTAACTCAAGTCATAGTGTTCTATTTATTTCACATTCCCTCCTCCAGAAAGAAAGCAACAGGCCATGTAAAAAAAGAAAAAAGAAGTTCTTGTTTGGCCTAACAAGGTACTGTATTTCAACTTAAAATTTCAACAATTCAAAATACTTTGAACTCTTTGGATATTGGTGCCATATAACTTTAAGAGCATCTAACCAAATTTTTATCCTACCTGCTTCTTGGTCGTGAGAGAGACCTGGATCTTGATCTTGACCTGGACCGGGATCTTAAAAAGGAAAAGTAAAATTTTACCGATTAGTTCATAGAATTCCTCTAATACTAAGCATCTTATATAAGACAGGATAGGAACAGAGAAGCTAAACTCAATAAAAGATCTTGCCTTATACTCAAAATTACTACTTTCAAACAAGCTCTGAATTTCAAATGTAAGGAATCAACTACTTGTTTCTTTTGAACTCAATGGTCACTCATAGTTCTTCTAACCATAGTATTCTCAAAACACTGTTAACATAAATGGTTTTAATTTGAGAAGACTAGAGTATTTCATTATAAAGCAATCAATGGTACACACCTGTAATCCCAGCACTCTGGGAGGCTGAGGTAGGATGATCTTAAAACCTCAGCCTGGGAAACTTAAGCATTTAAAAAAAAAAAAAAAAAAAAGCCAATGATACTCAGTTTGAAGGGCCAAGGAGATTCACTTTCCAGTGCTACCACTGGAGGGAAGGGGGGCATCTCAAATTAGCTTTAAGACCATAGATCCTTGAAATTTTAACTCTTCGTGTAATAACTACCCATAAAAAGTCACAGTATAAGGCTTTGTTCTTTAATCATAAACAAGTTAATGATGGTTCAAAAACCATTAATTAGACAAACCAAATTGAGTTTTTGCAACATACACATTTCTCTTAAAGATCTTAGGATCCAGACTGATCCATACTTCCTCAGATAGGACTCAGAATATAGTAACTTTGTTTTAAGGCTCTGTGCTAATAACTCCCAATGTCATTCTGTACCACTGCTTCATTGTTTTAACCCTTTTATTCTGTACAGCTGTACCTATCTCATCACTTTTAAAGGCCTCTACAAAGTAAAACTGGGGCTCCCCTTAAATTTGTGTTGAAACCAAATGTGTATAGCCTGAGAATGGAACATGTGTCTAGCGTGCATCAGGCCATGGGCTCAATTCCCAGGATCACAAATAATATTATTTGGTTTTTTTGATAGGGCTAAATAGCCCAGGGTGTTCTCTCCTGAGTAGTGGGATTACAAGCATGCACCACTACATGTGACAATGTTAATTCTCAAAAACAAACAAACAAACAAAAAACCAGGCAGCCAATCATTTCCCTGCAAGTAGTGGCACATGCCTATAATCCTACCTCTTCAGGAAGCTGAGGCAGAAAAAGCACAAGTTCTTCTCTAAAATAATTTGTTGCTTTCAACCCATCTCCTGCCTCAGCCTCTGGAGTGCTGGGATTGATTACAGGCATGCACCACCATGCCCAGCATTGTGGCCTCTTAACAAACCTCAAATCCTGGGTTGTGTAAACTAAGCTAATACCCATTACCACAAATGGTATGTAAAATTTAACCTTTTCAAATATTCTCTGAAGCAATTCATGTGAATGAGGAAGAGAGTGTTACATACTGGAAATACCTCGATCCTTTTATAGAACCAGACCTAGATCTTCTGAGTGAAGCTGATCTTGATCTACGAAGAGACACAGACCTTGATCTTCGAGGAGATGCCGATCTTGACCTAAAAATTAAGTTACATTTATCTCCAGTTTTTTCACTTGTTACAAATTTTACAGTAATCACCCACCAACTCTTACCTCCGTCCCCTGCTCCTGCTGCGTGAGCGAGAGTATCGCCTTCCTCTGGATCGAGAATGTGATCTAGACCGTGACCTATTTTTCAAGTTAGAAAAATACAGAATATTAGACTACAGCTCATTTTAAAAGTTTATGTGCCTCTGCTGAAATCAAATCTCAAAACTATTTAAATTTAGTGTCTCATTTGGAAATAAATTCTGGGCCTATTAGTTGTTGAGTTTGTTTTTTTTTTTTTTTTTTTAAACTACCTAAAAAAAGATTTGTTAAAAGCTGAATTACAACTTAGAATTACATAATATAAAACACTGTAATGTGTATTTAAAATAAACCTTGCAAGTTTGCAGTCGACCCTCTTTGGCCCATGGTCTAGTAGGTCTAGTAGATCTAGACGATCTAGAAGTATCTATAGCCGATCGCTGCATCTAGATGTTTTCTTCAATCTAACGACGATCAAACTGACAGCCAAAAGAGCCAGGTGAGGCTTGATTGACGCAAGAAGATTTTTCTAGTTGGGAATGTGGTCAATCTGGTGTTCCTCTTTCTAAAGCGGAGGGGGCCCCAATTGTAAGCCAAATTTACTGTTACGGCGATCACCGTCTCAAATTTTCTGCCCTTTAAAGAATAAGGTGAAGCTAGGTGTAGATGACTCGAGGGGATCTGGCCTCTTATGCTGATCACCTCAAGGTCTAGGAGGATCTTAATTGTCGGATTTGCAAGGCGCCTCAGCATGATATCATAAGGCTCGTGACATTCTGAATCAAGGCGACTGACTCAAACGAAGAAACCTGAAAGGTTTTGACCAGGTTGATTATTAATATATTAACATTTTTAATTAAACAAAAACTGTAAAATACACCTGTACAATTAACATTCAAGTTTATAGAAAATTACTAGTTTCTGCCTTGCCAATAAAAGAATTACTCTGATTAACTAGAATACCAACCATTCCTTTATTAACTAAATACCTGCTTCTTCTTCTCCGGCTATAACGGTGACAGTCATAAGCATAATGTCCCTTTTCGCCACACTCATAGCATCTATCATTGGGATCAAAGGGACGTCGGGCAGGTGGTCTATCAAAGCGAGATCTCCGAGGCATGCCCGTTGATAGTTCAACCCTTACTCGGGAACCACAAATCACCCTATAAAAACAAAATTCTGGAGTTAAACTTGATGTGAGTAATAATAGAACCCTTTTCAACTACTTCTTTCCCTCAGTAGTTTGTTCTACTCAGCTCTCCCAATTCCACCCTTTAACCTTTGGTCTTAAACATCCAACTTACTTTCCATCCAGTCCTCGCACTGCATCTTCAGCATCTCTAGGATCTTCAAATTCCACAAAGGCAAATCCTGGGGGATTTCTTGCAATCCATACAGTTCTTAAGGGACCATAATAACTGAAAGCCCTTTCTAACTCTCCTTTGCCAGCACCAGTTCCCAGGTTACCAACATACACCTTCGTTTCTGTTAATGGAATAGAATAAAGGAGGTTACGCAAAGTTTGGCTTAAATCGGAACGAATTCTGCCTGAAAATGGGCCATCCCGCAAGGAGGTAGCTGACCCCTCGATTCCCTTGGCTCAGTCTCTAGTACCGCACCCCCGCCTCCTCCAAGACAAACTGCTCTTCAGAGACAAGGTCTGGCAGGGTGTGGCGGCACACGCCTGTAATTCCGGTGCTCAAGAGGCTGAGGCAGGAGGATCAATATGAGTTAGAGGCCAGCCCGAGCTACATAGTGAGACCCTTCCTCAAAACACAAAACAGAACAAAAAAACAAGCTCTGGCTAAGTCGTCCAGACTGCTCTGAAACTCTGGGGTTCCAAGGATCCTCACGCCCCCAGGCACGTGCCACCACCCTGGCCTGTGCAAAACATGTTTAATGCTCTCTACCCGCAATGGAATTTAGCCTAAAACAATTAAGCCTGCAAAGCTAGACTGCTTTAAGACCATGCTATTGGTTGGACGGTAGGTGGAATCACCCCCAT